TTGAGCCGTTTTCGCAGCGTACGTATCTGAAACTCACTGAGATCTCCCCCGCTGTGTTCACATTTCCTGCTATACTGTATCTTCGTGTATCGCGATGTTTTATAGCCTTTCTCGACAAATGCTCTAACCAACACAAAAATAATTTTTCAATTAGAACTCGTAGTTCCCGAAATTAGCGCGATTAAACAAACAAACAAACTCTTCAGCTTTATATATTAGTATAGATATAGATTTATAATGCATATTGTAAACTAAATGTCACTAGTCAAAGACACTATGCTTAGCACGTAAAGTTTGAAATTAGTCTCCGGCGTGGTTCACAAATTACGAACATAAGTACCATTGTATTATTTTTACCAGACACAAGGCAGCACAGAAAACGCCGTTATGTCGTTGACCTATAGTAAGGACTTGAATACATAATGATTGTTTCGTATGTTTTAAATATTTTTTGAGTTAATTGTACGTTACGTTACGTTACGTTTACGTTATATTGTATTTTGGTATTGAGTTTAAACCACATTTAGTATGTAATGTCTTTGCATGTGTCTGTAAGAATAACCAATTAAACGAGGTTCCAGGTTCGATCCCGGTGCGGAGTTGTTATTTCGGTATTTCTTTTTTTATTTTACTTTTTATATAAAAGGTCTACAAAACTACACTTGAATTAACAGACAATATTTAAATAGCATAATACAAAGAAAAATTATAAATATATTTCATATGAGCATGATATTTCGATTTATTCTGAGAAATTATCTATGACAAGGACGAAGGTTCTAAAACTAAACCAATAAATACTTTATCATTTCTCATTAATGGCGGTAGTAGATTTTATTCTATTCAAAGCATTACGTCTTTGAACTCGCATGATTTTAATCTTTTACTGTTTACATTCAAACCAATTTCTTCTGAAAACTTATCTTTAAATTTTAAAATTGTAGCCAATGTACTTGCGGGAATCCCGAACTTGTGTTTGCTATGTCTAATTTTTTTGTCATGGGATTTTGGTCAACATAATTAATAATGTTTCGCTTTTCTGCAACCGACACTTTTACGTTTCTGAGCCATTTTAACTTAAATCTTTAACAATAGTGACGAGCAGAGGTGTTTACATTACTTTCAATCAAAACAACAATGATTACGTTACACGCGTGTCGAAACATGGCGAGACATGAATCACATTATAAGATATATACGTATAAAGGTTTTGGGTTGGCAAAATTTGTTAATGAGAGGTATGAATACTTTTTCTTGATAGTTGAAAATTCGTTATAAAGAGGTTGTACGCAAAGAATGTTTGCAATGTAAAGGTATATTTTATTATTTAATTTACGGGAGTAGTACACATTTATATAAAACTCTTTAACGGTTTAAAATGCGATATATATACCTTTGACCGTTAGTCAATTCTGCAAGGCCAGTTTCGCCAATTACCAATTTCGACAGATGAGGAACAGATGGCGCTAGCATATCAGTTTTTAATCCTATAGACTCACCCTCCATCTGTAGCCTCTCCGTAACCACGGCTGAAAAGTGTCCAAAACGTCGGGCCGTAGTTAAAATAATTTTCAAATAAGTTTAACTAATATATATCGCGTTTTAAACCGTAAAAGTGTTTTATTTTAATTTTTAAATAGCATTAGCTAATATATATCGCGTTTTAAACCGTTAAAGTGTTTTATTAATTTTTTTAAATAAGATTAGCTAATATATATCGCGTTAAACCGTTAAAATGTTTTATTTAAATTTTCTAACTGCAAATTTTATAACTTAACTTCCTGCCTAAAATGCATGTTATAACACCAACAGAAAGAAATACGAGACATAAAAAGCGAAATCTGTTGACATTGGTAGAATATGTTTATGATTAGGTAATCGATGACCAAACAAGGCTTGTTTAGAACTGGTTACGAAATAGTAGGACGTTGGTGTCAAAGGTGAGTACATCTCACACGACACAGCAGGCATGCGACTTGTGGTTAGCCACGGAGATTACTGTGTTACCCCCTGGCCACAAAGATAGATGACCGACGACGCGAAAAATGCAACAACTAATCGCTAGACCTCGGTTTTATCATAGAGACGAGCATGGGATTCCCTTGATGGAAGGTATTTTACTCTTCCAATATAACGTCTTTAGCATAGCGTGTTTAGCATTGCGTGAGAGATCTTGAGTTCGAATCCCGGGACAGCAATAAATCTGATCTACTCAAATAAAATACCGATCGGTTGGACACAAAAATATGTTCGCCCCATGCTCCAGTGTGGACAATGGGACTTCACTATATAACATCTAAACAATATGTAGTGTTAACCCATTTTCTTTTTTTTTTATTCTGAAATCCAGACAAAAACACGATTAAAGGTCACAGCTGTTTTCATCTGTGGACGCTGGTTCGTGACCCGGAACTTTGATATTCTAACCACATTGGACCCGGTGAGGTTCAAACCACCGACCCTTCACGTTGCTATCCTTAGACCAACAATTCGTTATTTGCCACTCGCGTCGTCGATCGTTTCGCGTGTTCGCACTAATGAACATTGTTCACGAAACGCGTCGGAATTCGCATGGAGTCTGTGGTTCAGGTATAAGATTACCAGAGCTTTGTGGTCAGTTATGAGGAATTGCAATCCGTAAGATTTATTTAAACTGGTTTACGAGTGGAGTTTTAACTATGAATTCTTCTACGATTCTGACCAGCTATTTAACTTAGATAAACTTTAACGGTTTAAAACGCGATATATTAGGTAAACTTATTGAAAATGATTTTTGACTTCGGCCCGACGTTTCGGATACTTTGCAGCAGCCGTGGTCACGGGGAGACGTTTTAAACCGTTAAAGTGTTTTATTTAAATGTGTAGGTACTACTCGCGTCAACTATAGACAGTATTTAGAAAAATTGGTTTAAATCCATGATGTATATTGTGATAGTAATCTTGTAAATTAAAGTACTAGATATATGTATAGACTCCTTAAAACAAAATAAGGATCCTTAATACTAGAGATATTTTTTACTACATAAAAATAAGGAAATAGGTTTCAGATATAGCTAAATAGTAGTGCCGTAGATCGAGTTTTAAATGTCAATATAATGTTTTTTAAAGTTTTCAAACAAAAGTAATAGAAGTAGATAGATTTACTTTAGACATACACGTAATACCTAGAATCTTCTTCCTCTAAAAATAATAAGAGCGTCATTAAGCAAGAGAACCTATTCGAATCACGATTTCCTTAACAAACAAGTCTTTCAAGCGAGGAGTTCTGTCTGTAGTTAACGCGAATAGTTCACATTCAAATAATACACTTTAAATTGTTTAAAACGTGAAATGTATTAGTGAAACTTATTTATAAATTATTTTAACTACGGCACGTCGTCGATAATTTGTGAATAAGTTTAACTAATACATTTCGCGTTTGAAACCGTTTAAAGTGTAGTAAGTACATATTTAAATTAATGTTTGATCAATGGTTTAATGTTGATCGTTTTTCTCAACAAGGGTCCGGTGGCACTGATATTTTTTTATATTTTTCACTTATCTATTTTATTTACTTAGACCTAATGCGCTCATAGTAATTCTAAGCCACAAAGTAGTCACAAACGGTTAAAGATACAATAATAATGATTCCTCTTTATTTAAAGATTTCTTAACTTTATTTTAATCTAAATAATGACCGCGACGCTACATCTTTTAACATTAACTTGCAAGTACGAAGGGACGCGGCCGACGTCGTCGTCGACGAATTTATAAAGATGAAGTCGAGGTTTGCCCCAAATATCTATTCTACGTGGACGAAGTCGCATAGCATTGGAATATAGGACTAAATATACCAAAAACAAAATTTTCCGATCCATTTCATACGAAATTCAAAAGCTTAATTCAACGTAGCCTATAGATATGAATCAAGCCTACGGCTGTGAAGAGTAATGTATGAAACCGTTTCCAGTATATTCACTTGGCCGGCTATTAACGCTCGATTGCGTGCAAATTGCTTTCACTCGCTTCGTCCGATGCAGATCGAAACACGCGGCTCATCAATGGAATGATTTAATTTGCCCTAACTTTTATATATATAGCTACTTATAAAGCTGAAATGAAAACTTACATTAAACGTATAAATAGCCGAAAAACTTAACCCCAAAGTGACTTCGCTGTCGGTTACCAGACTTTTTAGTATTTAAAACAAATGTGACTATAAGTTTAAGAGTGTCTATTAATGATATTAAATGAAGATATTTTTAAAAATTGCGCTTTAATGTTAAGCAACAAAGAGGAGCACTGCGTTTAACGCTAGGCGTCAGTCGTCACAGGTACAAATCTTACTATTAGGCAAGTAGGTAGTAAAGTTTTATACTCGCTAGACAAGTTATATGATAGAAAAATAATAATTTCGAAGTTACAAAGGTTGACTTTAGGTCGCTACGACGGCGTAAGTATATATGTTAATATTTATGTAAATAAATAAATGTATCATAGTTTAAATTAAGCACTTTAACGGTTTAAAATGCGAAATAATTTTGGTATTATATGGTATTCGTGGTATTATATGTGTATGTACATATACGTTACATAATATACATAGAAACTCGAAGTTTGTTTCAGGTGTTGTTGCATGTACCTTAAAGATTGTTTTAAACCTCATAAATCCATCCTGCGCTAATATGTGTTCATATATTATTGAAGGTACCTAGATAATATCAAATTTCTTCTTTCAAAGCGTTATTATAAAAGAAATGTCACTGACCTTAAAATTACTTATACAGTTATAGTTTCAAAATAATTGCGCAAGCGTGAATTGCTAAAATGATTTAAGTAACATGATAGATCTACTAAGAACGCTAAAGAAAGTAAAGCATGGCGATCAAGAGTTAAGCCTTAATTTTGTTATTAACTGTTGTACAAATATTTTATTATGCAAAATAATTCGTGCGGAGTCGTCTATAGACTTTTTTCCCAAGCAAGTGCGCGAATTTCGTGATATCCGGAGATTTATTTACCTGCGTCCGAAAAAAAGGTGTCGTTACTGGAGCGTATATCGTTCCATTTATTTTATAGAAGTCACTCTGAAAAGAAGAAACGACTCTTTACCGATAATTGGGTCTGTTTTGCCTAAATATTGAGACGACACGACACGAAGCATGCAGACAAGCAAATTCTGGAGTATAATTAATACGGATTGAAAATAAATCCACAGAAAAAAGTTAGCTTTTTAATTAATTTATAGATATAAAAAAGCTAGCTAGCCTTTTTAAATGTTTTCTATCTTTCTATTGCTACTCTATGGCATTGCACGTTCCTAATTTAAAAGTAAATGGCGGGAAACAAACAATACATTTTATACAGAGTAGAAAATATAAACACCCTACGTCACAGAGCATAGAACTATTTTTTTAAATCTATTTATGTATGTATGTGATCTGTGGACTAGGGCATACAAGAAATAGATTTGTTCACTTACCTCCTGGTAGAACACTCGTTTCGAATTGTAGGTGAGATTATATTGCTGATCAGCTACCATTAAAAGAATAGTGAACGGTAACAAAAACGCTGCGGCTGCTAAAAATGCGACGCATCTCCCCAGCCTTATCATGCCAATGTTTCTCTTCCCGCGCTTGTTCATCACTGAATTTTAATGTCCTCACTTGTTGACATTTATATCACATTTTTGACACTTATGTTGAAACGCTTGGCTTTGGAAATCACACCTTGCCTGAAGAATTATTTTTTAAATATAGTTATAAGTACAGCATTCGGTTTTCTTTAAACTGGCTGAAGAAATTTAAAATTTCAAACACTACTGCTTAAAATTTAATCACTAAACAAACGGATACGTCATAAATTTGCTTTATATAGAAATATTGTGTCAAACTCGAACGAATGTTATGATAACGTGATCGATTGTATTTCTCATCTCAAATTATCTCTATTATAAGTGTACTAATAATATAAGCACTTTTTTACAATAAAATTCATCAAGTTAAAAAACTAGATACGTCTGTATTAAATCTTTGGGTCAAGTTAAGTCGTTCAAGGATTGGCTGATACTTATGAATATATATTACAATTAATATAAGTACAGATTGTCTGTATGTGTGTCTCTTGTTGTTAGAGGATTTTAAATAAAATTAAACACTTTTAACGGTCAAGGTTAACCACAGCATCCGATAAGTCAGGTCGTAGTATAAACTATTTCAAATAAGTTAACTCATATTTCGCGTTATGAACCGTTAAAACTGATTAATTTGTGTAATAACTTTCCTATTTGTTCAGTACTAATTTGATTAAATCACCAAGGTTTGTTATTGTCTAAATTAAGGTTAATTTTTAAATTCACCTTGAATGAATTATCGCGTTTTTAGGTCAAACTTAAACTTCTAGGAATAACTGTGGAATCTTCTTTGTATAACAACTGCATCAAAACATTATATAGCTTTATATATGAATATTGAAAGGAATTGTTACTTATAAGTTCTTGAAGTAATAACATTATAATACTGACGTTATGCAAGCAAAGTTTACCGCTGCACGAAGAATGCGGGGTCATTCGGGGCGCAACTACCTAAATAGCATCCATTCCGCAAAACAATTTTCTTCCTAACGGGATAAGAATGCTTTAAAAATTTAAGCGGTACGCTTCTTGATTGTCTCTGTTTCTTCGTTGTCGAAAACGAACTAAAACCTTTTTCTTATACATTTCTAAAAGAGGTTTTAACTCACAACGAGATTAAAAAAATACAAGTAATTCCAAATTTAAATAAACACTGTTAGCGATATAGACGCAAGTAGTATATCTTAAGTACTATTTGTTTTAACTACGGCCCGAAGTTTCAACTAACATATTTCATGTTTTAAGCCGTTAAAAGCATTTTATTTAAATGTCTGCAGCTCGCGTTAACTACAGACAGTACTTAACTCAGACCTCCTTTAATATGTAAACAACATGAAAAACTTTTTATAGCTGTAAACAATGTTCGATTAAGCTGTTCCCAAGAGCGACTTTTAATCGTAGTTCTATTATTGTTGGCAATAAAGAGTAATGATTTTTTCGCTCTTTCTGGACGGCCTCCAACATTTTAGAATATTTGAAGAACAGCAATTGTTTCTTTGAAATATTTCTGGCGGATTTTCTTTAAATTGCATTCTTAGTCACACGTTTAACTAATGATCTGTGCTACATTTTTCAATCTTGTTAAAAATTTATCTGGATGTTTGCCCTATTTATTATCTGTGTCTTTAAATTGTGTCAGCGAGTTCGTTAGCGTAGATAAGTTATTTTGCAAACCTCCACACTTTACAAGTTATAGCTTTCAACAACGTTGTCCGCCTCCCGTGGTTCTTGCAAGTTAATCTTAAAAGATAGACATATACTGTCGCGGAGATTTTTAGGTCATTCAAAGAGAAATCATTCTTTCATACATATTTTTGGATCTTAAACCGTTTTCGTCGCGTACGCCACGGAAATCCACAAAGGATCAATCATTTTTCCGCTGTTTCTTCTCTTCTATAGTTCGCGATGTTTATAGCATATAGCTTTCCTTGACAAATGCTCTACTAACTAACCAACACAAAAATTCATTTCGAAGCAGTATTTCCTGACAACAGCGCGTTCCATCAAAGAAACTCTTACATATTCGTATAGATTATTTTGTTTACGCAGTTTTAAGTCAAACTATTTTAATATTCCTATTCGTTAATCCCACTTAATGATTCATATAGAAAGGCTTAATCAAATTTGTAATTTAAATTTATAATGGTATCGCTTAATGAAGTGATCACAAAAAAATGCCTAATTAACCTATTACAGTACCTAGTACAAAAAATCGCTGAGGCTCGGACGAACAGCGCTGCGCAAATATTTCTTTTTGTTCAGTGACTCACTAACTAATTTAGCAAGAAAATAAAATACATACTGTTAAATTATTTTTAAATTTTGTGAAATTTACCACTAGTGCACACTAAAGCACAGAAATGTTGAGCTAAATATCAATTTTGATAAATAAAAAGGAGATAGGATTAAAATTAACCCATAACAGACTGTTACAAATACAAACTGATTGCAAGGTATGTGTAAATTCCAATTTTAACTTATAATAATTCTGAAAATCTTTTTTTGGCCTGGCAGACTGAAACGTTGCGTCCCTGCAGTTCTTACCCCGGACCTATCACGCTTAATTCAAGCTAATGCATTTAATTATGAAATCTGAAAATCTATAAAAATGGTTACCATAAAATGTCTATTGCCATCAATTTCAAGATTCAATAACCGCAAAGAGGTTGACAACAAAAGATGCCAAAAGCCATTAAAACTTCGATCCGCTGGCGATAAAACATAAAAAACTTTTATCGTTAGGAACGGAATCTTAAAAAAACTATAAGTAGTATAGTAGGTACTATTATCATAATCTGTGTACACAAGTAATACTTGTGGTCAACTAATTTGTTTTAGCAAATTTTCCTTATTTTCACAAGGATTCTCATGTGTTGATATGTTTGAAATTTCTCATTACAATAATACTAATCTTAAACGAAACATATTCAACTGGCTTAAACGCGAAATATACAAGTTTACGGACTTTGAATCTGATGTTCTAGAGCCGCAACACGAATTTATTATGTTACGCATTAAAAATGCTTTGAATTTGTAACAGTCGCATGAAAATAAAAGCCACCTCTTAGATTGTTACTTGTATGTAAAATATGGAACTTTGTCTGATTTACCAAATAATTAAATGGATTGTTTAGGTGAAAAAGGGATATAATTAGACCCTTAAATTCCTTAATATTATTAACTTATATGGACTGGTTTAGTCTAAGGTTGATTCAGCAAATACGAAGAGCCCAGTCTTGTTAGTTTTAAGATTAACAATAATACAGCACGTTTTACCTACAGCGATCGTTAATATTCAGCTGTTAAAAAACAACCACAACAAACAAGTAAATAAATAAAAAAAATCGAATGTTCAAACTTTTGCTTAATTAGCGAAATTAATAGACAGTGCTTGGAGCACATCGAGTGGTTTTTTTAAATATATTTTTAAGCTCTCCTGTGATTCATACCTACATAAATCGCAATCTTCTGTTTAGCAATCTCTCAGCACCGCACGATTTACATAACAGGTAGTATCCTGTGTCTATATAAACGACGTGTTGAAAATAAATTTAACAGGACTCCGTGTGTAGGCTAATATTTTAATTATAATCCAATATAACTCAACACGATACGAATTAATTATTAAGAGGTAAACGCGGGTTTGTTTATAAATAAAGCTTAACGTTTCGCGAACGTCAGGTGACGTTACGGCGTATACAACCGCGCAGTTGGGCTGGCGCGATGGAACTAGTCAGTATCGACCTCATGCCGTTGAATGGACCGGCCGCAGTTCGCTGCAAGTACGCCACTGCACTGCAGCTTTATTCTTGGCAGAGGATCCTGGCAACGGGGCTTCTCGGCATGCCAAATGACAAATCTATGTTATTAGGCAACCTATATCATTCGTCGTCGGTTGCATTCCCCTGCTTTCTAAATTATGCCTATGATATGCGCATGCGCGGAAAGATTCCCAACAGATGGTGTGACCTTGTTCCCACGTTAATTGTATTTGTCTAGATATACGTTTAGAGGTTAAGAGTCCATGGTCGCATGATGCAGTGTCTCCAAGGTGTACGGATGCTGGTGATTGTTCTCGTAATTATTTCAATCATTTTGATGGATTTTATCTAATCGTGACACACGACACACGGTTTTGAGCCAGACAAGTGATTCAGAAATTCCCGACTTTATTTATAAGAGGTAGTGCTGATTGCACTACCTCTTAAATTGCATCAATGTTGACGGGTTCGGTCGGTGTAATGGTGCCAATGTATGGCTAAAAATCGTGGTCGTGGTGTCGATTTCCACTATGTCCAACATTTTTCCAATGAATGTATAAGTTTTCTGAAACATTGGATTTCAGGAAATATGGATATTGAATGGGTTGTAGAAATATCGAAAAATACGTTCGGGTCACGAACCACTGTCCACAAATGAAAACGCCGTCAAGCTTAGTTACGTTTTCGCTTCAGTGCCACCCAACCCACGGTTTTCGAATATCCAAAACCAAAAAGTTCGACAGCACATCCTGTTCAGATGTTACATGGCTGAAGTATTTCACCTGCCATCAAATGAAACCCATCTGAACCATCCAACTGTCCTCCTCTATCATAAAAAAATCAGGTATATGATCTAAATGTATTCTTAACCCTGAAACCTGGACTTAAGTTCATGCAATGCTTAAGGTAATCCTATCAGCGTCTGTAAAATATTGTAAAAACCAATGATTTGCGATTAGATAAAAAATCTAAATCGTAACACTTTTTTGCAATCTGAAGGAATCTGAATAGAAGGATAATTTGAAATACAATCTGTCACAATTTGATTGTGTCAACTGATACCTAAGTATTTTTAGCTTCTTTCCAATAGTATCTTTTAAACAATCCTTTATTATATAAAGCTCAGGACAGGCTATAAATATATATCTATACTAATATATAAAGCTGAAGAGTTTGTGTGTTTGTTTGTTTGAACGCGCGAGTTTGTGTGTTTGTTTCAATGTCAGGAACTACGAGTTCAAATTGAAAAGTTATTTTTGGGTTAGTTAGACCATTTATCGAGGAAGGCTATAGGCTATAAAACATACGCTGTGACTAATAGAAGCGTAGATATCGCGAGAAATGTGAATAAAACTTTTTCATCTCTGTGGGTTTCTGTGCGTACGCTGCAAAAACGGTTCAAGACATCTAAAAAATATGTATAGAGGAATTATTCGTCTTTAAATAATCTGAAAAAATGTTCGCGACACAATATGCCTATCTTTTAACATTAACGTGCAAGAACGACAGGACCCAAAACAACTATTCTACGCAGTCGCTGACACAGCTAGTACTGAATATTTTTTGATTTTAGTATTTGATGTTATGGCAGCAAATATATAATCTGTGAAAATTTCGACAGTTTAGCTTCTTCTTGTTGATAGACAGACTACAGCATCTAGACAATATACAGTCCCGTACCCTTTCAATACAATGCCCTAAAATATAACATTACTTTTATATTAAATTGGAAACTTATGATAATATGTTGGAAAAACGCTATATTTACACATTTATGGATATGTAAATATCGCGAGAAAGATACACGTGAGTAACTTGACCGATTTCTTTGCAACAAAAGTAAGCAATGCGCATGCGTGCTCAAATGTAAAGTACTTTTAGACTTCAGTTTGCGATGATTGATGTCGCGTTTTTAATACTTAAGAAAGATAATTACAACGAGTGAATATTATGTAAAAAAAAACGTTTGTTCGAGTCCCGCTACATCATATTTTATTACATCTTTTCTTTATTATATTTTTAAAGTTCCACCTTGAAAAGTTTAAAACGCTTAAAATTAATTAATGCCACGAAGAAACGTCGGGCCGTAGTTTAAATAAATTAGCTAATACTTGTACGAAACGGAAGCCCTAAAATATGAATCTGCCTTCGCTCCCATTAGTGATTAGACACAGAGTACCTTTATAGCGTAAAGCCTTCTTCGATAAATGGTCTATTCAACATAAAAATAATTTATCAATTCGTACCAGCAGTTCCTGAGATTAGCGCGTGTAAACAAACTCTTCAATTTTATAATATTAGTATAAATTAATAAATACTAAGGTCAAATATATTCGCACCTCCATTAATTATTTACAACTCGGTAGCGATTTTATCATATTATATACTACACAGCTTACATAATTACACAAATTGTAACCAAATGCATAATAAAGTAATATCATAAACACGTTGAACAAGCAAATATGTTCGTATCATAATAAAATACGATAACTTGTGAGTTTTTTATTTTTATGAAGGTTAAAAGTTCATGACGAGCTGATAAAGGGTAAATGTGTTAGACGTTTGGGGGCATTGAAAATCGAGGACATTTTGTCGGTCTGATAAAAATATATTTAGCTGCGCTATCTCTTATGAAAGTATATATAAATATAATATAGATTTTTGTTATATTTAATGAATATTAAACTGTCTGCACGTTAGTATAATGAGCGTGGGAAATAAATATATTCGTTTGTACTTTATTCTTGAAAATCTCTTTAGTTATATTTCATTTCGACAAAAGTCGATTGCCATAAAACACGGTTCTTGACAGTTGATCTTAAAAGATAGATACCGTCGCCGACATTTATTAAAATCATTTCAAGAGCAATATTTCTTTTATACCTACATATTTGTGGGTATTTTGAACACGAACGCAACACACGCAACGGAAACCCTCAAAAATTTTTATTTACCTCGTTTTTTCCGAATTATCTGTTTCTTCGCTCCTATTGGTCGCAGTATTTATTATAGGTTAAAGCCTTTTTCGAAAATACTCTCGCCAACACAAAAATACTTTTTTAATTAAACCCAGTAGTTCCTGAGATTAGCGCGTTCAAACAAACAAACTCTTTAGCTTTATATTAATAATATGGATAACATAATTGTGATTAACTAGTTCACTGTGTTATTCCCTTTTGTATTTTTTTATAACATTGTCGTTACATTTACCGACATTGTATATAATAGAGTTAAGTGAGTTACGCAAATAGAGCGCCGTGGGTAGGAATGAAGATTACAAAAATAGTTTTGAATAGCACGCTTCCTTTATCGAGTTAGTGCTTTATTTAATACCTGCACGTGTAAATCTGTACTTGACACGACAAAGGTCCGTGAATAATATCTATAATAATTGTTCTGTATTACGTGTATCCTGTTTAAATTTTTTGCGGGCCATTTGATCCAATGGTAGCAATGTTTAACGGGTCGCGGGTTCGATATTGACGGGATCCAACTTGTTCATTTAAAGTTAATTCGATTGTTTAAACATGATATTGCATATAACATCGAACTTTAGAATACAGGTAAGCTTTAGAGGTAATGAAACGGTTTAGTAAGTGTCGCGGGTTCGAATTCTGCATTCGCCTTTCTTCTACTAAGCCGTTTCACGAACGTTAGCAAGTTAAGATTCCGTGGCTTACCTTTAGCTATGAGTTAAAAGTTCATAAGTAATCCGGTAAATTAAAACTGTGCAAAATTATTTATATTTTAAGCAAATGGTACTAATAAAGAAAACGGTTTAAAACGCAAACCTATAACTTGAACCTATAAATATGGTATGGTTTATACTATAATGATAAATTTTTAAGGAATCGTAGAAAGTATAAAATTTTTAACCAATATATTTCGCGTTTTTTAAAATAGATGTATACATATATTTGCAACACGAAAAGGTCAACCTAGTCGATGAAGATTATCTAATACGTATTACATATTATTTTCACATCATAATTTAACGACAATACGTCAGTGTAGCTTATTATACAATAAAGTTTCTGAATATCCAAAGCTCAAATAAGTTAAAAACCATATTCAAATAAGTTTAACTAATATATCGCGTTTTAAACCGTTAAAGTGTTTTATTTAAATGTGTACTACTCGAGTAAACTATAGACAGTATTTAAGTATGTATATAGTGTAAAAATATTATTATATTAAATACATAATAAAAAGTTAGACAGAAAAACCTCTTCACGACTCCCAAGTACCTAATAGAACAGTTCAACGATTTTGCCGACAGAATAATATAGGAGTCTAAAGACCGTCTGGGCAAACCGATATGGCTTCGTAGAATATTTACGGTCTATTCCTGTGTCATAATCTATATCCTGGCTGTTCATTGACCCGGAAGGATCAATGTTCAATCACCATGTCAACGACTTTTGTTGTTTAGCTCAGTAAACCGTAAAATATCCACGTTTTATGTAACCTACTGTTATGTCAAAAACTGAACTGATAGTACTAATTCGTAAAATTATTAATTTAATTAAAGGACCTCCTTTAAGATTAAATGTGTTGAATTTAAAGTAATCCTGGGTTCAATCCTGGATAATAAATTATAGATATGATTATAGAAATCGTCTTTTTAAATATCGATCATTGAAATAGATATAGAAATGTGCTTGCCCCGCATGCCTCAGAGAACCAAGAATTTACATCACAGATGGCAGTACTTATTATTTAATGGTGATTACATATTCTTAGCCTTTTCACGCAAAATAACTAAAGAACAAAACATTATTAAATTGTGTAAGGCTTTCACGGTCATCGATCAGCATAGCATTGTCTTTCGGGCTGTTCGGCCGACGTGAGCGAGAAGAGGTTCTCGCCATCAACAATAATTATTCTTCGAGCAATCGAGGAGTTAACATCTTCTGATGATGCCATCCGCACGTGATGGCAAAACGTCGAGATCCGTCGTTCACGTCGGCTGAACAGAACAAACGATTATTGTTTTCATCATCATACCAGAGCAGCAAAATTGGTTTATCTCGAAGAAAAAAATATTTTATTTAAAATCAAAAAATAATACTCGCAATTTTTATTATGTCATGTTATGAGTCTGTGGTTATCTGTCACTCTCTGCGATGATTTATAATCTATGTTAGTCACAATGTAAACTGTCACTCTTTATTAGTGATCGATGGTGATGAAACAATAATATTATCATAAATTTACTTGTTTGGTCATAAAAACAAAACGTAATATACATAGAAAAGGAAATAATTTTGAATTAAGAAACAGGCATGAAATTTTAAATAGTTTTTGGTTAGGTTTAATAGTAAATGTAAGTATGGAATCGGAAATAATACGAAAGCATTTAATAAAATTGTTACCACAATCGGTCTCAAATGAAGTTGTTTGTCATTGTTTTTATGATGACCATCCGACTAATATTAGACAATTAGATCTAACAGTTTGCACAAAACGAGGCGAAATACTTGAGTTTTATAAACGAGAGGTTGTCACGTCGATTTTATTGGGACCTAGTAAAAACATAAAGGCCATAACACCATACCGAAACGAGACAAGTGAATTATTTTACTTTATAGAAGTTGATAATGATTTAATTATCATCTCTTCAAAAGATAAGATGACAATTCATCTTACTATAGAAAATGTGGATAAGTATGAATTGGTTGACAAGGATATTTCTGGTCTTCCTTATCTCAAAGTTTTAAGGAAGGATGATGCAGTTCCTCTACTGTATGATAGTCAATTTAACTTAAGTGAACCCCTTACACGAAAAAAGCACCAGTCTGATTCACTACCCGTGGTGACACAGTTGATGAGAAAACTTACTGAAGCCAAATATAGCGTAAGACAAAACGAATCTAACCTTCAGGAATATGTAAAAATTAAGCAAGCGGCTGCCTTTTCTTTGTATGAGACCGGCAACCCTAATTCAGAAGATTCTATGTTTAAAACAGGAACAAATATAGTTAGTATAATCTATGTGAATGTATCCTTATTTTCAGCCAGTATCTTATATATTAATTACCCTTTGAAATTACAGATAACAAAGGTATTAGAGATTAAAACAAAGAAGCCATGTGTGAAATTATGTAACAAGAAAGTAATTGTCATTGTTAACATTGAAAATGAGAACACTGAGTAAGTATAATTGTCACTGATTATCTGGTAACAATTAAAAGATAATATATTATTATCTATTGGAGATGCAATTGAGGGTGTGTTGATGACTCCACATTAAGTGGCAACTTTTTTACCCATATCTGCTGTTAGCCGTAATTTGACTGAAAAAAACAAAGTAATCCCTGTATAATTTTTATACAACTAGTGAACTTATCGAAAATTCTTACAGACCCATAGACAACATCCACATTCTATTTCATGGATTACAGAAGAAATCAACCGAGTACACAACAAAAATATATGAAGAGACAAGTTATTCCCCCTATTGGAGGGAAAAGGATTTCCATTCTATAAAGTCAAATGAAGAATGCTCCATCATAGGGATAATTGAAATGAAAGAACTAAAATATTCCGTTTCAAAGATTGAATTTGAAGCAGTGTTGTCATATATGAAACAGGGAAAGAGCTACGTATTGCCTTTAGATGATGTGTCAATATCTGCAATAGATACCATGGGGGAAAACTTTGATATCTTACAAAGTAGTGAAGGTATAGCTGCTTCATGTAATTAATTTTAGTGATGTAACTATTTTCAGAGGCTTGATAATCTAATGGTAGAAATTCTGGGACCCTTCTGGTTCCACAATGTTTCCAATCAATTTATTATTTTTCTAAAACAATTGGAAATTTATCTGGAAAACTGGATATTAAATATGTGGTAGGAATATCAAAATTCCATCCAGACCATGAACCACAGTTCACAGACGGAAATCCTCTTATTTTTATAGTCTTCCGGTTTTAGTCTGTGTGTTCTCTAAATATAGTGCGTTTTTGTTTAGATGTTATATAGATGGGGTATGATAAATATCATATAAAACAAAATTAGGGTACCACTTTGATGATTTTAAATGATAAGTGTTTATATTTTTATAGTTTATATCCTCTCAATCTATTGTTAGTAAATTAAATGTGCTTTATAATGAATACATTTTTTTTCAGAGGACAAATACAAAGTTCTGGCCATATTAGCAACTTCTGAAAAGACTGATATAAATCTAAGACATATTGATCATAAGGAAAACCCTATTAATATATTAGAAGCAATATCTAATCATTTGGATATAGAAAGATTAGGAAATTTGAAAAATGTCCTTATCCACAAGAAATCTTTGAACCACATTCTTTATGGCTTAACACTTATATTCCTGGAAGAAACCAATCTCAGCGCTTGTGTAACTGTTCAGATTTATTCTAGGTAAGGTGTTCTTAAAATAGTACATCTAAAGTGATTTAATGTATTTTTAAATACTTTTCTTTTCTGTTCATGTATTAGCAATCAATATATACATTATTATATTTATATAAATAACCGCATTACCACAGCAGTGATAGAAATCACTTTTAGACAAATAATGTGGCTACATTTAAAAACCAATAACTTCTTTTTACTAACTACATTCTACTTATATTTATATTTTTTTCAGGTCACCTGCACAAGTCCTAGCTTTTATTCACTACTTATATGACGGTGTACCTTATAGAATAATGGCAACATTACCCAACCACATTGTCACTTCCAAAAGTGAGGATTTGTCCCACCTTGACAGTGAAAAGATAGATAACCCACAAATTGATTACACTTCCTACGCAACAACTATTATAAACCAGTCGAAAATCATGTTACAATATCTAGACGAGTGCATTGTTAAAATGAATGAAAATACTTCTCCTGAAGTGCAGAGTAAAATCGGTCATCAAATACAAATATTGTCTATGGGCCTTCCAGAGTTTTTGAAGTTTAGGAACAAGGTGCTGCAAGAAGCGAGTAATGGGATACAAGGGTTGAAGTTGAAGGAGAAGATTGATACACTATCGGTGGACATGATGGATGAATCATAAACCACTAATGTTTAAAAGTAATAAAACTCTGTCGTCAAAAATGAAACGATTTCGAAATTAGAGTATTTATTGTTTGTTTAACTATCTAATTATACAGGGTGCCCCCAGACTTTTTACATCGAATTTACTTGTACACTCATAGTAATTAAACTATTTAAAAATTAACTCCCAGCAGTTTTGGGAGGGTTTTTTACATAACGTAAATAGCGCAAAAGTTTACTGTTATTATACGTTTGGATGTTTTTGAATCTAGTAGATGACAAAGAGAATGACCACAAATCTTCGCAGTTACGTGATTGTGATTTATATATTATAGTTTAAATAAAACACTTTAACGGTTTAAAACGCGATATATTAGTTAAACTTATTTGAAAATGATTTTTTAACTTCGGCCCGACGTTTCGGATGCTTTGCAGCAGCCGTGGTCACGGGGAGACACGGCTGCTGCAAAGCATCCGAAACGTCGGGCCGAAGTTAAAAATCATTTTCAAATAAGTTTAACTAATATATCGCGTTTTAAACCGTTAAAGTGTTTTATTTAAATGTGTACTACTCGCGTAAACTATAGACAGTATTTATATATTATAGTGTCTGTAGCAATAATCAGATACTAATCGAAATCCATTTCAAATAGGAGTTCCTGTGCCGATTTGAATGAAACTTGGCAAACACCTGAGCTCTCCAAGACACATATGAAAAACTGTGATAAATCTGGCGGCATCGTGTATATATATTTTACTAATTAAGCGCTATACATTTGCTATAGGTATAAGTATAAAAATATAAAAATACTGGCTACAAGTCTTTAGTGAAATAACAAAATAGTTTATATTACTAATACAAATTATGCCAAATTGAGTTTTATCATTGAAAGTAAATTAATTAAATTAATATTTAAACTAAAATCTCACCAGTAGCGTAGCTAGATAGTCAAGGGCCTCAGCGCATAAAGAATCGGGTCCCCCCCTTACCGCGTTGATCCTATATAAGCCTCCACAATTATAGACAGGAATAAGAACAGGTCATTTAAAACTATAAATTGTTTTTTCTTTTATCCTTATCTCTTAAGTAAGGAGCCCCCCTATTCTCCGGGGCCCTGGTGGACCACTAGTACTTGGCTAGCTACGCCACCGAGTTTAACAGTTTATTAACTGCATTTATTAAATAAAACAATACCCGAATATCCATTTAGCACCATGCATCAGCTATATAAAAACATATATTAAATAATAATACAATAATTTATCTAGATCTACCCAACACCAGGATTACACGTTGGAAAAACACAACAGTTCTATCTATAGTTGAATGGATATTTTATACTGTATGTGGTACAAATCGATTTTCGCCTAAGTTAATTGCGCATTTTCTTTTTCCTCCTTATTGAAAATTCATGTCTTTTGTTATTAGGCCACTCTGGCTCTAGCAGCCAATACAATTGCTATTTCCCAACGTGTAATTATAGAACATATTGTGCTCTACCAAACAGAGAGTACTTTGAGAAAGCACTAAGTGCTACCTCTCTGGAGCACTTTAACGCGGTCAGGTACAAGGAAGCTATTCGTGCCGCCCGACTCTTAATAACCTCAACAAATATACACAAAAACATAATTAATTTAATTAAATTGACTAAGTCAATAAAATATACTACTTAAAAACGAAGCAAATTAAACTTTGTATAAAGATGTCAAACAATAACAAAACGTTTAAATACAATACTTTTAACGGTTTAAAACGCGATGGGTATTAGTTAAACTTCTTTTCGTGCGAATGCTTTGCACCAGGATGTCCCTTATGTTGAAGTAAAAACTACGCTAACGCCATCTGCTCTGTCGTAGTTGGTATTTCTCGAAAGTGGTTGGTCTGGCAGAGTTTAACTAATACATTTACGTTTTAAACCGTTAAAAGTGTTTTATTTAAATATACTACTCGCATTAGATACAGATAGTACCTAATATCAAAACAATTAAACATAATATTTGATGTTTTTTTAACATTCAATCATATACATTTTCGCGTAGATTAAGGATACAAAACTTACTAGTTATTGTTTATATAGTAAAAGAAATTATGTTTCACACCTACTATGTAGCGTCAGCATATATTATTTGCTTAAAACTAACTAAACTATTATTGCATTGCACAACCGGCCATTTTCATTACTTCTATAGAAGTGTTACAGAACTATACTACGTCGCTACTAGTTTCATTTTATTATATTGCACAATAATAACTGCAAATTTACTAACTTAAACTTAATTTAAACATATTGCACTTACTATTGCACATAAAGCGTATTTAATATATATTAAAATAATTATTTACATATTAAACTACGATCTTATTGTTTATTTACCAAATCATAATCTAAGTATAATCACAATAAATATCAATTTTTAACTTTAAGCTTATTACTCCTAACACTCTTAATAGTACAGTTTTCAGTTCTTGCCTGTAAGTTTCTGAAACTACCAAAGTAAACTGAATGCGTCTCTACACTCTCAGCCCCCGATTCACTCCTCGCTTCGTTACCAGTATCATCACTGTCACTGCAACTCGCCAATTTCGCTATAACTAACTTTCTTTGGAAATGTCTAGAGCTCGTGGAGTCACTGCTTAGGTATCCCGAGTCCTCAATGCTCATACCTTTCTTTCGGCGCTTAGCTTTGTCAAGCTTTGAATCTTTTACAAAAGTGTTCGTGTTGATGCCGCTTTTGGAGTGGCGTCTGGCAGAATTTCTGTCGTATGTCTCGAATTGTTTTGAATGCGCGCTATGATTGAGACCCTCATAGTCAGATGAGCCCTGGGGAGAGATTGAAGCGCTCAGTACACTGCAAGATGCACCCTGGATGAAGTCACCTTCTACAATAGTGCTGATCGACTCTCTCGGACTGAGACTTCTATCACTGGTGTTCTTGGATATGGAATCAATTGTGATTCCTCTCTCTACTCTTTTAGGCGGACTAGTTGGATTTTCGTATATCGTGTCTTCGCTGGGTGGTAGAGGAGGCAGGACGTCCGGACGCGCCAAATGTTTCTTTTGTTTGATTGTGGGCGGGGTGCACTGACGTTGCCGTTTAGAATGGCGCAGTTCTAAAGTAAGTATTCGCCCTTCCTCTGATGTCCAACCTCCTGAGTCTTCCAAACTTTTATCGGAACAGTCTTCGTTAGTGTTATTGAATATATTCGGTGACATTTTTGGACGCATCTGTGTGTTTTTAAAGTCGTAACCGATGCGTAGACTGCTAAATTTTGAAGTGTGCTCGGTTTTTCCGTTATTCACAAATGTACCACTACTTCGGAGCTGTATTCTCTGACAGTTTTCAGCTCTGTGATTATCTAGACTTCTAAGGAGGTCTTTTCGGCTGAATTGAATGTTATCTAGAATTTCCTTGTGTTTTTGGTGTTTACGATCTAAAGTATCTGGTTCAAATCCGTCGGATTCATGAATTTTAATATAATTTTCAGGTGGGTCTTTAACTTCTATAGTTAAACATCCAGGCTTCTCTTCTGCATCTGGTATGGACACAAGCTTTCGACTTCCCATGGAAGATTCGGAACCACTAGGTGAAGTAGGCGCGCTGCCAAAATTATAACTATTGTTGACATAAACTTCACTGACTAAGCTGTAATTCATGTTAGTAGCAATTACTTCTTTATTTTCAACTTCAGGAACATTTTTTTGTGGGTTTATAATTTCATAGTGGTTCTGATTAACACATAAATCTACTTCAGGCGACGGCGTGCTGCTGTCACTGCTGGAATTTCTTTTATAGACCGCATTTCTCATTGTAAGTTCTTCTTCTAAAGGTAATGCGGTACTTAAACTGGGACTAGCTTGTGAAGACGGAATTTCTGCGAATTCGATCGGCGTAGAAGGTGTTGTAATATCTTTCTTGTTAGAATTACGTTCTAAACTATCAGTTTCATAATCGTTTGCGATGGGGCTATCCGAGCTATTATTATATGAATGCTCTTTGTGTTGACCAAATTTTTCTTCATCAGAACTGCATTGGTTGTACGACTTTGTAAGTTGATCCAGTACAATTGTATCATTGACCATATCTGGAAGAGCATTTTTATTGTTCATTAACATCCGAACCCGTTTCTCAGAATCTATGCTCCTTGAACTACACGGTCTTATTTCGTTAAGGTTAATAGTTGGACTCAAATCGGTATTGGATGGATCATAATTGAAAGTTGTATCAAATGTTGCACTATGCAGTTCTGGCAGCGGTATGTTATAACTTCGTTGCGACGGTTCAGACCGTACTGAACGTGTCGTTGATTTCGATAAAGGCGTATCCGTAGAGTACATTGAATAGCCTTCAGAAAAACTATACTGTTTCTTTAATATATTATTACGATTGGCTATAGTGGGAAGAGATAATAAAGACTTGGGCATATGATGTTGGCCATCGCTTTCGGAGTCTTCCACTAAAGAATGGAGATCATTTTCGCTTGGAATGTTTTCCAACCATTCCCGAATACTGCTTTGTTTATCGCCTTTTATGTTTAAGCAGTTAGAACAGTTTGGTACATTGTATTTTACAATGTTTTGAATATTTGACTTATTTGACTGACAACCGGGACACCCTAAACAGCTAGAAGAGCGTCGTCTGCTATTATCTCTCTTGAGACTAAGAACACTTCCACTTCGTTGACTGCCTAGTCCATGATAAAGATCAATGCTGTTCGCATTTGATGGGTAAGTTTCTTCTTCTGGGATTTCATTGAGAATAGGATGGAAACGCTTAGATGTCATTTTTTGTTTAGCTATGGATATTACTTCACGTATTTTACATAGGAATTCTATTGCAGCTGCCGGTGGGTCCTGCAACGATTAAGAATTATTTATATTTTATCCTTTCTAATTTTTAATTGGTTTACTTAAAATGTATTATTACATACAGCCATGTAATGAGGTTCAAAGTAAGCTGGATTGAAGTAGAGTTTTCTTCGCGTTGTGCCCACGGGTCGGGCTATCTCCCTGTCCTCTATAGTTTCGACGATAGATACATGTTCGTCTGGGAGGCGTTCTATACCAGATTCATCCCTGTGATTGATCTCTACACTGTCAAATGGATTTTTCAAATCTTCGTTACGAAGATGTATGATCGCTGATGTAGTCCGCTTCTGGAAATGTGGGAAATATTGATTATTAATAAAGTAATTAATGATTTATTTATGAAAAAGACATTGAGTCATAACTTACGTTAAAAAAGTTATCTTCGCTATGTATACTGCTCTCCGGCATATCCTCGGAATCTGAAAGGTTGCTTCCAGAATCACTTGGGAAATTGGCTTTATCTGTTAACGATCTACCAACGGATAGAAGTGGATTCTTTTTAATGATTCCATCATCTTGTCCCATGGCACTCGACAATGTCTGAATGCGTTCATTATTAATTCTTAATATGTCTCTCTCTGTTAATTTTCCGTCTCTTTTCTTCAACTCTTTCACTCTTTGAAGGGTGCTTTCTTCTGTCGCAATCCTTCGCCGTTTTCGTATATGTAAATAAAGGAAGACAGAAGCAACGTAAATAAGTCCAAGGAGAAGCGAGCTGATACCAATCGCTACATATTCACCGGCACTGAGACCGTTCGATGTGGTACTTTCTGCAGTATGTGCTGTTGGTGTAAACTGAACTTCTGTTATATCTGTAATAGATATTGCATTTATTATACATTTTTTTTTATGATATAGGAGGACAGATATGGCCTGGAGTTAACTTAATGGTAGGTAATATACCCCAGCCTATAGCATCTAAACAAGATGTTTTGTCGACGGATTTGGACTTTGGATATTCGGAAATTCACAGATAGAAACCGATAGGCCATTAATCTTCACGGCTTTTTTTATCTGTGGAGTGGTTCGTGACCTGGACGGAGTTTCTATATTCTTACCACTATCTATAGTTTACGCGAGTAGTACACATTTAAATAAAACACTTTAACGGTTTAAAACGCGATATATTAGTTTAACTAACTAATATATCGCGTTTTAAACCGTTTTATTTAAATCTTACCACTATTACAAAATTATAAATTGAAAAAATTAGAAACGTGTTTGACCCGGTGGAGGTCGAACCCACGGCCCGTTAATTATTAGCCATATTGCTACCATTAGACAAACGAACCCGTCAAATTCATATCTTTTTTATTAATATCCTACCTACAGTAAACAAAGCTTATTTAAGATTCTTCCAAATGGTTGTAAAGCTTCTACTTACTAGTTGCATGTCTCGGCGGTGTTCCTTGCACCCTAAATGCGACGCAAGGGGTAAATACTCCTCGCAAGTCAAGTGGTGATGCAGGTGTAGTGGACACGTCTCGACACAGCAATCTTACAACCATCACCCGACCGGACATTCGTCTGCGCACATCATCATCACCGCTCCACTGTTTAAGTAAATTAAAAATCTATTTTAGATCAAAAAATTTCGACACGGGCTCCTGACCATAACATCCACAGAGTTCGGTGCTAAGAGAGTTGAAAAAAAAAACCACAAGTAGCTCAATTGATTAGAGCAACAGCACGGAACACTATAGATGTCGGTTCAAGTCCTGTCCTGTGAATGTCATCATGTGCGATAACATGTAAAGTTTTTAGGTAAACCATAAAAAAATTTAAATCTGAATGTCAGGAGATTTTTGCAATAGGTACATCATTTTAGCTATCCTATTATTTTGTAATGACTTACCTATAAACAGCTAAAAAAATAGATAACGGTTTGTTCACAGAAAATTTAAAAACAGAATTTAAATAAATTTCGTAGAACAGAATATAGTACCTGCAAAAATGTTCTACCCTCATCTCTGAACAAGCTAAATGGCACGTCAGCATCGATCGTGTTCCGGAGGTCTAAAAAGCCTTTCGTCGTTAGAAACTGCGCGCCTGACACTGCGCAGATCGGTGTTTTTACATCTGAAAATTGTGACGTCACAGTATAAGTAAGATTTCGGTAATATTGTATACTTCGTTACTTTGTTAATCTGTATTTTTGTCCTACCTTGGAAGGTTATTTCTCTAGATGGATGTATAATTTGCCCTTTCATTGGCAAAAATACAAAAGGGATGCGCTGTATGGCGTTACCAGTTCCAAAAGTTGCTAGGGCGCATTCTGAAAAGTAAAAAACACACATACAAAATTGTCTTTTCACTTCAAAAACTCTGCTTTTTGAAATTGGATAAAAGGTAAAAGTAAAATCGAAAACATGTATACAAACTAAAATGTTATTTAACGGAGGGAGATAAAAAAATATTATTCTTATCGTCAATAAAATATATGACGCCATCCTTCAAAAATATATGAGTGTCAATCCCCTCTCTATCATTAAAAAAATGTTATATATTTGCTTAAAAAGAAAAAAATCCTTGAAGAAATGTATTTGTCGTCGTGAGCTTAAAATAATTACGAAATATTTTAAGCTCTATTTGAATTTAAGCGCGAGCTAAGGTTAATACACCTGACGGTTTCACATCCTTATTGCTTTTAATATTATTATAGCTAAAGCTACATCGTTATTTTAATAATTCGTATTCCTGTAGCTTAAAGTTGTATTTTACTGTCTTATGTTTTTATGTAACAACATCTATTTAGGTGCCAAATAAATAGGATTATATACTATTTATTTGATGTAAATATATGACACTAGATGTGTCAGCGACTTATTTTGAGCAACAAAATTAGTTTTTGCCTCCTCTTCATCTGTATAGATTTAAGGTTTTAACTACGACGACGCTCGTCCCGTCGTTCTTGCAAGTTAATCTTAAAATATAGATATATAGTTTCGCGGACATTTTTAGGTAACAAACTAAATCAGTCCTTTATACATTTTTTTGGTAGCGGTTTTAACTGCGGAACCCTAAAATGTTGAATAATACTCCCCGTTTTTCACACATTTCCCGCTGTTTCTTCGCTCCTATTAGTCACACCGCAATGTGAACCCATAGGCTTTCGCGATAAAAATAATTGTTCAATTCGAACCAGTAGTTCCTGAGGTTAGCTCATTCAAACAAATAAACTTTTCAGCTTTATATATTAGTATAGTAAAGACTTACTTCATAATTACTTCACCAGAAATATATTTAATGTATAGTAATGTATATGTTTAAAATGTGTGATACAAGGTAAACTACAGACAGTAGGTATGGACTGATTTGACAGATTTAAGTAAAACATGTCAATATTTGCATCTAGCCAATACAGTTGGAACTAAAGTGTGAATAATATTAACTTTCACAAAGCATCGATATCTTTATAACGGGCTTAAATGAGATTGCAATTTTTATCTAAGAAATGTAACGCGGTTAAGTGACAGGCGAGTTTAATTGGTCACATCGTAGCGTAGTTGGAGCAAATTTAAGTAATAAAATACTGTCTGTAGTTTACGCGATTGAGCAACACTTTAACGGTTTAAAACTTGAAATATATTATTTAGCTACTAATTTTTTTTTGTCTAATCAATTCATACTTGAAGTTTGTAGTTTTCACTAGAAGTAAACATTTAAATAAAACACTTTAACGGTTTGAACCGCGAAATATATTCGTTAAACTAATTTACAAATTATTTTTACCTAAAGTGTAAGTAATATATTTTGCGTTCTAAACAAAGTGATTTTTTAAGTGTACTATAGACAGTATTTTATATTACAATTTATATTAGTATAATCATTACCGGGCAGATCATCGACGCAAAGCTCGCGATCCTCCCTGAAAAGCGGCGCGCGCTGTGGACATGCGCAAGCGCATCCGCCCGCAATAGACGTAATGTCTTGTGTCAAACCGGCTCCGTGCTCTGCGCATTGCGCTGGACCACATTCGTCACCTGGGCATAAAAAATAGAATTAGTGTTAATAATACGCCTCTTTAGCTGCTAGCTGTGTTAACAACTGCGTCCGCGTAGAATCGTTATTTTAGGGATGCCAAAAATTGTTTTTGCAAACCACCTCTCAATCTTTATAAACTTAGCTTTACAACATCGTCCGCGTCTCGTCGTTCTTCGTCTTGGACTTAGATCTTTTAAAGAGCAATAATTATCCTTCATACATATTTTTTGAGTAGGTATCTTAAACCGTTTTCGCAGCGTACGCATTAGAAACCTACAATGATGATTATGTTAATGTTAACCAACAAGAATTTTTCAATTCAAACCCGTAGTTCCTGAGATTAGCGCGTTCAAACATACAAACTCTTTAGCTTTATATATTAGTAGTTTTCATTTCCATCACGGTTGCTTGGAAGAGATAGCTATTTAGCTATAAAGTCGCCGTTTGCTTAATTTCCATCAATTTGTAATTAATTTTTTTGTTGTTTTGTTTTGTGACAATAAAGAATATTTGTATTTGTATTTGTATTAGTATAGATGTAGTTATGTATTTATTATTATACATATAGAGAAATTGGAGACTAAATTTGTTAACCTTAGTTAACTCATACAAATGTTTTATCCATAAAAAAAAAGTTATTTTAAAGATACATTTATTTATACAATTTACTCAACATTAATTAAGTATTCAAAAAAATAAATTTGGATTGATTTTCGGTAAGGTAATATATGCCTCATAGGCCATATATTACCGTAGCGCCACGTCGGCTTTGATATTTTATGAAGATTTATTAGCTAGCTGTACCAATTCTAAAAGACAGTACATACCAATAAGCGTAAAGACGTCTCCGGTTTCCCGTCTGGTGAGGTCGCCGAGGCTGGCGGCGGCCGCTGCTGACACCAGCAGCAGCAGCACCGCGGCCATGCTACCCCGCCCCCCGCCCACCGTAATCGTTGCCTGCTAGCTGCCACATCTCTCTCACCACCTAAAAACAAACCTTAGCTTAACAGAACATCAATTAATTATTGTCGGTAGTTTACGCGAGTTTACAAAACGGCAAATAAATTAACTTATTTAGAATTTATGTTGACTACGGCCCGGTGTCGTCCTGTGACCGTGCTCCATGTATCCGAAACGTCACTGTCGAGCCCTAATTAAAATAAATTAACTAATATATTTTAAACCATTAAAAAAGGTTTTATTAAAGAATTTATATTATGTTTATGTATCTATGATACAGATTCGAATACATACGTTAAGATTACTTAAGTAAATGATCTATTTTTGTTAATAACTTTCTTTGTCTTGTTCAAATAAATATGTCTCGAACTACACTCGATAACTCGGACTTAATACAGACTTACTTGAGTACTCTGTAAGCCTCTCTTCAAACAAAATCTACTTAAGCAAATAGTGTTTGAGTACAGCATACAGGAAAAAAGATAAAAATCAAATGCGCATAGTCATAGATGTTTAATATGAAACATTTGTACAACTCGCGTAAATATAACAGGTCCGACGATAGATTTCAGAAAGTCGCCATATTTACGATCCGTTAATATATTCATAAGTGCACGAGTAGTGTTTTACAACTGTTAAACATTAGCACCGCAGTGTTTGAACTAACTTGTGGATACTGTCTATAGTTTACGCGAGTAGTACACATTTAAATAAAACACTTTAACGGTTTAAAACGCGATATATTAGTTAAACTTATTTGAAAATGATTTGACGGGTCTTCCCGTGACCACGGCTGCTGCAAAGCATCCGTAACGTCGGGCCGAAGCTAAAAATCATTTTCAAATAAGTTTAACTAATATATCGCGTTTTAAACCGTTAAAGTGTTTTATTTAACTTGTGGATATTAAATATTGTGACTGATCTTCATTGGTGAGTTATTTTTGTTAGGTCTCGATGAATTTTTAGATCAAAAAATAATAATTCACACATTAAAAGCAAAAAATATATGATAATGGCACGTGATAGAAAATAGTGTTTAACGAGCTAGTTGCAATTTATTGCTAATAATCAACGGGTTGTGGCTTCGATCGCCACTGGCTTCGACATGTCTCTAATCCATTCGGGCAAATTGGTGGTGACGAACCAGACTGAGAAGCTGTTAAGTTTAATCTGTAGGTAGTTAAAGCTGTGGGTTTTTGAATATCCAAAGCCCAAATAGGTTGGCAACGCGTGTTATAGTAAAAGCCCGATTCCCCCGTGGGGCATGGGACGAACACACAGTCGTGCCTTTAGATATTGTGACAAATATCTTAAGTCTGTCTTTAGAAATCATTATTAGATATCATTACTCTATGTTTATAATTTACTAGCTGAGTCAGCGATTTCGTCCGCGTAGAATAGATATTTATTACATCCAAATTTATTTTGGAAACATCTAGATCTTTTAAAATTTAAGCTGCCTACAACATCAAACAGACAAACTCTTCAGCTTTATATATTAGTATAGATTTTGAAAGACAAGAAAATATAGGGTATATTAAAAGATGCTTTCGTGTTACTAAACAATATTTTTCTCAATCTTTATCGCCCTAATGGACACTTATAAGGAATGTATTTGTCCTAAGTAAAAACAAGTGTTAATGAGCTTTAATGTGGAAATTTAATACTGGCTTGATTTACACAAACTATGTGTGGAAGTTATATATTATGGTCATTTGGCTAATTGATTATATTTAATGTCTATCGATAAAATGCTTTTATTAAACTTTAGCGCTAGTATTAAATATTGCGAAATGTCTAAATAGCACGGCATAATATAATCTAAGAAATTTAACAATAAAAAAAGAAAGAGCTACAAATTATATTATAATGTTTATATAAAACACAAATCATATCCAAACTAGTAATCTGTAGTTTACGCGAGTAGTACGTACATCAAAATAAAACACTTTTAACGGTTTAAAACGCGAAATGTTTTTGTCAAACTTACATACAATAATTTATTGCAACTAGAGCCCGACGTTTATGATGCTTTACGGCGACCGATTGTAAATAGGGTAACTAAAACATTTCACGTTTTAAACCGTTAAAAGTATTTTATTTTGATGTACGCACTAATGTAGTGTTTTATAAAAATTTACTAATCTACCTCATAATGTTACGTGATAGCGTTAACATAATCTCTTATGTCGTTTGTGTGTAGATGTCATGTTTCTCCACAATAGAAAATTTGCTGCCAAGCAATTTTGACTCTGTATGTATTATAAAAATAGCTGGATGACATATCAATGAGCGTACAAGTCACTTGTCTTCAATAAAGTATAATGGAGGCGGAGAAAGCTCGCACGCCATCGCAAAAATTCAATGGCATTGTCCTAGGTTCGATTTCACTCAGTTCACATTATTACCTCTCTGTATGGGGATGATAACCTCTGTGAACCGATGAGAAAATTACGAACGAAAATGGTGCTTACTTTTTATAGCGAACACATTGTCTAGAATCTGGGCAATTGAACAAATGCAGTGATAATCTTGGATGCGCTGTGAACTAACTTAGTAACATCTAACTCCTCAATTAATCACGCTCGTTCAATAGTCACGCTGTTAGCAATAGCATAGCGTGAAGTAAGTTCGAAGCTTGGGAACACACGATAGTTTGCTGCCTGACTATTATTTGTAGTATATGTCTGTCTGACTATTGTTTGGAGTATATGTCTGTCTGACTATTGTGTGAAAATAATTTTTTTCGTATCTCTGAACCGAAGCAATGCATTTAGGTTACCTCTGCGAGTTTTAAAAAGACTTTTAACGGTTCTAATTTTTTTTTATATTCTTCACATTTAACTGCACGTGTTACATTACATAACACAATAGCTCGAAATGTGCATGTTAAAGAAATTCTACATTGATGTGTAGATCACGGCAGCTCAGTTGGCTAGAGCATCGCTGAGTATTCTTTATCATAGAGGACAGAGAAACATGAGGCTAACTTGATGCGCTGTTGAGATATTCTGTGTTTTGATATTTGGAAATCCAGAGACTCATTAAACTTCACAGCTTTTCCTGTAGACGGTGACCTTCCTACCACCCGATGATTACCTAGATTATTAATTCACTTTTAACGATTTAGGACGCTAATTATATTAATAAACATATTGTTATTCTATTTTAACTATAGCTAGACGTTACAATAATGTTATTAAAATGAAGAAACCCAAAAACTTAAATTCGAAATTCAAATGAGTAAAATATACGCTAACCAGAACCCGAAAACGACGCACGCGCCATGTTGACACTTCGTAAATCTGTTTCCCCGTTCGACGGGATTTGGTAGTGTTTGCTTACTCCGAGCAAACATCGAATTGGGAACAAAATATAATTGAAGTGACAATGTTTCTCTATGTAATGACACGGACAAACGTGCATTGCGGTCGGTCCAGACGACCCCCCACTCATCAATCGTATTGGCCTATCTCCAGTCGTTTAAGACTGTCTGTCTGACAAATATGAGGGACCTAGAACATGATTTAGACAAATGGTGATTTATTGTATACTCGCTGGGTCCGTTAGAATTTCAATATGGTTTGCCAAGTTCAGTAAGATAATTGTTTGTATGCCGTTAACCTATATTTGTTAATGGACTGTTAAGCTGGAATGATAGTTATCTTCGCGTATTTAAAGTGAGAGTGAAAATTGTAAATTACGTTTCAAAAATCACTGTAAATACTTTCTCTATTAGAAAGGTTACACTTGCTTTTACATTAGGTAAAATCCTTTTGAACGGTTTAAAACGCGAAATCTATTAGTTAAATAATCTATTCTACACTAACGAGGTGCTGCTTTAAAGTATTTGAAGCTACAACTTTAACAAGAAATTTATCTTTACTGAGTAAAACACTTTTAAACGGTTAAATACGCGCTTGTTAGATTTTATTAAAGAGACTGACCTAAAATATAATTATAGGCATTGGTTTTTATGAGATATTAGAGATATTTATTTTATTTTTATTTATTTTAAGAAAGAAACATAACAGAAACACTAATCGATTACAATTATAGATATTGGAGAATAACAAGAAGATATAGGGTCAAAAGCTATTATATTTCGTTAAACAAGATGCTTTCGTTAAGCAACGTATTCCCCATAATAACGGCAACACATTTATTGTATAAAAACGTCTAGGAATGTAACAAATAATGGTACCCCAATTATATATTCATTTTGAAGATATTTATATATTACCTATATATTACACCAGGTTACGATACTTAATTGACATATATTGATGCCAATTCAATATAATAAAAAAGTACATAGTATATCACAACCTATTTATTACAATATAATAATGTACATCATACCTGAACCATCCAACGTTCAACCAACGTTCGCATTATAGGTATTAATACAGATATAGGATTTTAAGGATATTCTGGACCCTCCAATGTTCCAAACAACGTTCCACCAACGTTTACCGTGCGATTTCTCAAGAGCAACTGCCTCCTTCGCTTTACAGCGCACCCCCCTTTATACAATCCACAAACAACCGACCAGGTGTTAGACTGACTTCATCGAATATCACGAACATTACTTTTTAAACATTGTGTAAACTACCCGCATTTATACAAACTTTTAATTTTATATATATACAAAATAATTCAAATAAACTGTCACGCTCTGTATTGTATTAATTAATTAATAAGTACTCATTAAGGTAGTATTTATTAATATAGTTCGAGGATTAAAGCAGTTAAAAAGAGTTTTAGATAATGTCTTAAACGACAACTATATCCTTAACCTATTTATGAATAAAATCTTTGATATTTTTCATAATATTAAATCATAATATCTTTTTTTTGCAATAACATAATATGTTATTGCAAAAAAAAAGACACAGGAGGGACTTGAACTGACATCCACAGCGTTCCGCGCTGTTGCTTTAACTGGTAACGATATACTAAAT